TTCAGGCTTATCCTAAGATATTTTAGTCACTTCAGGCTTATCCTAAGATATTTTAGTCTCTTCAGGCTTATCCTAAGATATTTTAGTCTCTTCAGGCTTATCCTAAGATATTTTAGTCACTTCAGGCTTATCCTAAGATATTTTAGTCACTTCAGGCTTATCCTAAGATATTTTAGTCACTTCAGGCTTATCCTAAGATATTTTAGTCACTTCAGGCTTATCCTAAGATATTTTAGCCACTTCAGGCTTATCCTAAGATATTTTAGCCTTCTAAACTTAGCATGAGCAAAACACATTCATGGATTTTGAAAAAAAAAATGTCATCCTTTAATAGCCAGTTGTGCTTAGTTTAATTTATAACATAGATAAATGTAGGTAGAATAAAATGTTGATGAGATAATGAGGGTAACAAAGAACTGCCTAGGTCAGGGGTTTAGGCATAGTACGAACCGGCAGTGCTCTTGGGATTCTGTTCTACAAGTCAATGCTTTATCGGAAGAAGCTTCCTGAAGTGGCTTACATCTCCTCACAGGAGTATGAAGAGAATGAGGGTGCTTCACTAAAATGTGTGCGGCATGGTGGGTTTCAGCTGTGAAAATTATGACTTGTGGAACAAACGAATGCATAGGCTGGTCCTAAAGTTTTGTCACCTCTACATAATACAATTTTCTATTTCAACACTTCGTGGGTTCTTTAGGAGAGACATTCACATGAACGTTACCAGAATACCCATCATTTGAAAGATGCCATTGGCAGAGCCTTTGCAATAATCAACAAAGTACAGCGCCACATCATTTTGTGTCACATAAATGTATTAATATATTACTTGTTTTATTTTTCACATTACTTTTTGGTAGGGGGTGACAAGACTTTCGGATCACCCAGTACTATGCCCAAGAAATGGGATTTGTGTTTAATACTAAAGAACAATACAAAATTGATCCCTCACTTTTTGTCCACCTTTCATTTGATTACCTATAAGGATGTTTTGTAATTTCATCTATGAATCTACAGGATAGTTCGAAATTCTTGTCACCCCCACACGAATATGATTTTTCTATTTCAGATGGCTGACATGAAAATGATGTACATACAGATCTTGATGTGTGACAGCATCAGTGAAAGTAAATAAAATGAATCCAGTACATGTGTTTTGTATTACTGTATTACTTGTTCTATTGTTTGCATTAGTTCTTAATAGGGGTGATAAGACTTTCGGACCACCCTGTAGTTTATTTGACCGCTCACCATGGAAATAGCAATGGAGCAGCAAGAAGTTTGTGGTGTCACTTCTGTGAGAAAGGGGTTGCAGAGTGGAAAATAATTTATCAACTACAAGGATGCAGAGGCACTTTTGGACTAATGAGATTAGAAATTGAAGGCTAGGCAGTTCCCACCTGCATATGACAACCTTCTGTGTTGCTAATTTTATTTCTTATTTCATTCAGTGGTTCTTGTAAGAAGTTATTTTAATCAAATTAAGTAAATGAAGAAAATGTAGAGATAAAATCTCAGTTTCATCCACCAAATTTTGTCTTTTATACAAATATTTTTCACCTTATCTATTTTTCTTATATCTGCTTCTTCGATAAAATATTTCATACTTGACAACCTACTTACCTTTCTTACCTAGATGAATACACTTTTTCACACCTTTCTGTCTTTTGCCTTTTTTTTTTTTACATTAATTATTTATAAACTATATGCTTCTTTCCATTTTTGTCTTTAACAGCCATGTCCTATCAGAATGTAGGTGATCATGCCTCTTCACTGACCCTTTTCTTTACAATCTTGGAATTGCCATGAGTTCTAGGAAATAACAGTGTAGTGTTTTCCTGTTATTTTCTCTACAGTTTTAAAAATGAGAATATTAGAACATTAGAAAAAAAGTAAAAGATCTACTTACAAACCCAACAAAAGTTTTGGCCATCCCAATAGAAAAGAAAGATATTCCACTATTTACATTACTCGGACTATTATCCTAATTTTTGTTGCGTTATTTATTACAAAATTTTGGCCGTTGTATGCTGCGACCATCTTTAGGTGGTTGGAATATCAAACTGAACCCTTTATTTCATTCACTGTGGTAAACTGGTTCCACTTGCCATGTCTAATGGATGTCAGTTATCTCCTGTTAATTTCCCTCTCCATGTTCTCCACTGCCTTAACCAGTTATTGAACTCACACTCTTTGGATCCTGTCTAACATATATATATATATATATATATATATATATATATATATATATATATATATATATATTACTGGTAATTTTTTTTTTTTCAAAACAAGTGTATTGCTGGTAATATTTAAAAAAAAAATGTATTGCTGGTAATAATGTTACTGGTAATAATTTTTTCTTCAAAAATTTATTGCTCGTAATAATTGTTTTACAAAAAAGTTTTGCTGGTATTAAAACCTATTTTTACACATTTTGGGGGTTAACTATTTGGCCAGAGCTGGGACCCTAACAGGTACTACCACATCGAGTCAGGGTGGATCTGGGAACCCCAGCAATTAAGAGGTGGTTCCATGCTCCTCAAAACCTCCTACTCAGAAGCCTTGCTGTTGGATGGAGTTTATCATCATACGCAGGACGGCCTTAAATAGGTAAATCAAACTTAAGGTAAATTGGTAATGGCATGCTTTGTCTAGAGGAGTGGTTTTCCCCAGATGGAAAGAAAGGGACACAGGGTTCATTTCCCATTGGAAGCAGAGTCTTTCTTTAGCAGGGCTTCACAATCTAGGCTGATTATTATTAATTACCCTTTCTAAGTAAATATAAGAAAATAGCGACAATAACTCAAACAGGTGTATACACTAAAAACAACAGAATAAGGAAACTATCATTAAAACAATTTTTGGAGGAAGCTGTGGTGGCCTTATACACCAACAGAGAACTTTATATCATCAATATTTAGTTAATGCTGTATCTTTTTTTTTTTTTTTAATAAACTTATAATTAATACAGGATTTTATAGTGGTCATGCATTGGTGTATTAAGATTGTTAAATCAAATTGTGATAAATGAAAAATTACATTTATATAAATAAAGATATATAGATAGCAATGTGTGAACAATTAATATAGGTAAGAATGTCGACAGAAGAAGATGTGTGAAAAAATTGTATTAATATAGGTAAAAAAAAAAATAAATAGAAAGTTGTGAATAATTATTCACGCCTAGTTACCCATGTTTTTTATTTAGATTCTTACCATAATATCTATCGATTTATTTTCACCACAAATGATGTAAAGGGTTTCTCAGTGAACAATGAGAAAAATGCAATATGATTAAGAACAATAAAAGAGAATTCAAAAATAAACATTATAAATATATATAATAAATGTGAGTGTCAGTGTGTCACACTTTTTCAACTTTGTTCCTAGAGGTCATGGCCCAAAATATCATACCATTTTGGAATCATGTCAACTCTGTGAGCAAATTAAAAACATTCAGGGCCGGATACAGACCCGCAATCCTGAAATTTTGAATTCCCAAGTTTTCATTATTGTGATTGCTTTTGGATTCCACGATTTTGGTTTTTTATTGATAAAAAAAAAAAAAAAAAAATAAAATTAAAGGGACACAACTCTAACTTTCAATAGCTCATGTTCAAATAAAAAAATTACTTTTCTCAAATTACAGTGTTTCAAAATAAAATTGTCTGTGTTTTCCCCTACTCCTAGAGACCATAGCCCAATATATCTTATTCTGGGATCAGCCCAATATATCTCATTCTGGGATCAGCCCAATATATCTCATTCTGGGATCAGGCCAACTCTGAACAAATTAAAATTATTCTTAGCTGGATCAGGATCTGCAATTCTGAAATTTTGGATTTCCAATTTTCATTACTGCGATTGTTTTGGATGATTGATTTTATGTGATTTTTTGTGACAAACTTTTTTGGATAATAACAATTTTTATAATTATTTACATTATTCGGACTATTGTCCTCATCTTTGTTGCCATATTTATTACAACGTTTCGGCCATTGTATCCTCTGGCCTTTTTCAGTTGGTTGGAATGTCGAACTTAACCCTTTATTTTGCTCACTGGGGTAGACTGTTCTAGTTCCACATGCCATGTTTAATGGATGTCAGTTATCAGTTATCTCCTGTTAAGTTCCCTCTAAAAGGACACATGGCACAATGGATAAAGGCATTGGTTAGACAATGACAGGACCCAAAGAGTGGGAGTTCAATACCCGGTTAAGGCAGTGGAGAACTTTTACAATATATGAATTTAAGTATGCTACTAGATTGGCATTTAGGTCCCACCCATTTACTGTTGAAATACCTAAATATAACCTCCACTTCTACTCCAAGTTTCTTTTTTCCCCACTTGCCACCTGTGAAACTCCCTTCTGATTATTTGCTTACCTGATAACTACAATCATCAAAAATTTAAAGGCAACATCAATTACCATCTTCTGTCTTGTTGAATCCCGTTCATCTTTTGTCCTTTCTTCAATCCTCCCTATTTTCAGTCTTCTTTCACTTAAATTTTTCTTTTTTTTTTTTTGATTATATTACTCATCCCTGTATGCAATTCTCATATGTTTAATTGAGAACTGTCCTTCCCATACTCTAGTGACCACCTAAAGTTAGAGAGTTCAGTCTGGTATGATATTTTATGAATAGTTTGAAAGAAAAATTATTGTAGAAATTGCTTCTTTTTTTTTTTTTCCAGCGAAATACTCGAATAACAAAACAAAAAAGAAAATCATCTGCCATCTGGAAAAGTCAAAAGATTTCCCCAAATAATGCCATCACTTTGCTCAAAGATTGCTGATGGGATTTTGGGAAGTTAAAACCTCACCAAGAAAAGTCAATTTGATATCTTTGTCCTGGAGGAACATTTTATATAATGCTGAAGTTTACTGATTGGTCAGCATTTGAAGTTGACCTTGGTTCTACAAGATGGGGACTGTGTTAACTGCTGCTGACAATAAGAGTAATGATGACACGACCGTCTGTAGACACATTTCCTTATACTAATTGAATAAATGGTAAAAAAAAAAAGGATTTAGAAAATGAACTGTGAGTGCACAGCAGACAGTGACCCAGAAAAGAAAAAAGAATAAAAAAATGGGAATACAGGAGGAGGAAAGAGAAGAGGGAGATGAAGGGAAATCAAGAGTAGGAGGTGAATGAGAAAGAAGTGGAATGAGAAGAGAAATCCGAGGAGAAATGAGATGAAGTAGAAAGAAGGTGGAAGGAGAGAAAGAGTGGGAGCTAATGAGAAAAGAGAATGATAGAAAAGGAAACATAATGAGAAAGAGAGGAGAAGAAATGGAAAAAGATGAAAGAAGGAGGAGTAAGAATGAAAGTATAAGATGAAGTTGGAAAGAAAGAAGAAGGAGAAAGAATAAAAGAAGAAGGAGAAGTAGGAAAGAAAGAAGAAGGAGAAAGAATAAAAGAAAGAGGAGAAGTAGGAAAGAAAGAATAAAAGAAAGAGGAGAAGTAGGAAAGAAAGAATAAAAGAAAGAGGAGAAGTAGGAAAGAAAGAATAAAAGAAAAGGAGGAGAAAGAAAGAAAAGGAAAGGAAGGAAAGAAAGAAGAAGGAAAAGAAGAAGAACGAAAAAGAAGAAGGAGAAAAAGAAAAGAAGAAGAAGAAAGACTACGAACGAAAGAAGAAGAAGAAAGACTACGAACGAAAGAAGAAGAAGAAAGACTACGAAAAAAGAAGAAGAAGAAAGAAGAAGAAGAAGAAAGACTACGAACCAAAAGAAGAAGAAGAAAAGACTACGATCCAAAGAAGAAGAAGAAAGACTACGAAAAAGAAGAAGAAGAAGAAAAAGAAGAAGAAGAAGAAAGACTACGAACGAAAGAAGAAGAAGAAAGACTACTTAACGAAAGAAGAAGAAGAAAGACTACGAACTAAAGAAGAAGAAGAAAGACTAATTAACGAGAAGAAGAAGAAAGATTTAAAGAAAAGAAGAAGAAGAAAGACTAACAACGAAAGAAGAAGAAGAAAGAACTTAACGAAAGAAGAAGAAGAAAGATCACGAACGAAAGAAGAAGAAGAAAGACTACGAACGAAAGAAGAAGAAGAAAGACTACTAACGAAAGAAGAAGAAGAAAGACTACGAACGAAAGAAGAAGAAGAAAGACTACGAACGAAAGAAGAAGAAGAAAGACTACGAACGAAAAGAAGAAGAAGAAAGACTACGAACTAAAGAAGAAGAAGAAAGACTCACGAACGAAAGAAGAAGAAGAAAGACTACGAACGAAAGAAGAAGAAGAAAGACTACGAACGAAAAGAAGAAGAAGAAAGACTACGAACGAAAGAAGAAGAAGAAAGATCACGAACGAAAGAAGAAGAAGAAAGACTACGAACGAAAGAAGAAGAAGAAAGACTACGAACGAAAGAAGAAGAAGAAAGACTACGAACGAAAGAAGAAGAAGAAAGACTACGAACGAAAGAAGAAGAAGAAAGACTACGAACGAAAGAAGAAGAAGAAAGACTACGAACGAAAGAAGAAGAAGAAAGACTACGAACGAAAGAAGAAGAAGAAAGACTACGAACGAAAGAAGAAGAAGAAAGACTACGAACGAAAGAAGAAGAAGAAAGACTACGAACGAAAGAAGAAGAAGAAAGACTACGAACGAAAGAAGAAGAAGAAGAAAGACTACGAACGAAAGAAGAAGAAGAAAGACTACGAACGAAAGAAGAAGAAGAAAGACTACGAACGAAAGAAGAAGAAGAAAGACTACGAACGAAAGAAGAAGAAGAAAGACTACGAACGAACGAAAGAAGAAGAAGAAAGACTACGAACGAAAACGAAAGAAGAAGAAGAAAAGACTACGAACGAAAGAAGAAGAAGAAAGACTACGAACGAAAGAAGAAGAAGAAAGACTACGAACGAAAAGAAGAAGAAAGACTACGAACGAAAGAAGAAGAAGAAAGACTACGAACGAAAGAAGAAGAAGAAAGACTACGAACGAAAGAAGAAGAAGAAAGACTACGAACGAAAGAAGAAGAAGAAAGACTACGAACGAAAAAGAAGAAGAAGAAAGACTACGAACGAAAGAAGAAGAAGAAAGACTACGAACGAAAGAAGAAGAAGAAAGACTACGAACGAAAGAAGAAGAAGAAAGACTACGAACGAAAGAAGAAGAAGAAAGACTACGAACGAAAGAAGAAGAAAGACTACGAACGAAAGAAGAAGAAAGACTACGAACGAATGAAGAAGAAGGAGTATGAACGAAAGAATAATAATAAAGAGTATGAATGAAAGAATAATAATAAAGAGTATGAATGAAAGAAGAAGAAGAATGAGTAGGAAAAGAAGGAGTATGAACGAAAGAAAAAGAAGGAGTATGAACGAAAGGAAAAGAAGGAGTATAAACGAAAGGAAAAGAAGGAGTATAAATGAAAGGAAAAGAAGGAGTATAAATGAAAGGAAAAGAAGAAGGAGTATAAATGAAAGGAAAAGAAGAAGGAGTATAAATGAAAGGAAAAGAAGAAGGACTATAAATGAAAGGAAAAGAAGAAGGAGTATAAATGAAAGGAAAAGAAGAAGGACTATAAATGAAAGGAAAAGAAGAAGGACTATAAATGAAAGGAAAAGAAGAAGGACTATAAATGAAAGGAAAAGAAGAAGGACTATAAATGAAAGGAAAAGAAGAAGGACTATAAATGAAAGGAAAAGAAAAGGACTAAAATGAAAGGAAAAGAAGAAGGACTATAAATGAAAGGAAAAGAAGAAGGACTATAAATGAAAGGAAAAGAAGAAGGAGTATAAATGAAAGGAAAAGAAGAAGGAGCATAAATGAAAGGAAAAGAAGAAGGAGCATAAATGAAAGGAAAAGAAGAAGGAGTATAAATGAAAGGAAAAGAAGAAGGAGCATAAATGAAAGGAAAAGAAGAAGGAGTATAAATGAAAGGAAAAGAAGAAGGAGTATAAATGAAAGGAAAAGAAGAAGGAGTATAAATGAAAGGAAAAGAAGAAGGAGTATGAATGAAAGAATAATAATAAGGAGTATGATGAAAGAAGAAGAAGAATGCGTAGGAATAAAAGGAGTATGAATGAAAGGAGGAGGAGTATGAACAAGAAAGAAGGAGGTGTAGCAACAAAGGAGTAGAAACAAAACAAGGAGGAATAGAAAGAGAATGAGGAGAAGGCGGTGAAGAAGTAGAAAGGATAAGTTCATTACTAAGGAAACCAATCCCTCAATTTTATGCCCATTAAAATCATTAATATGAATTTATCCATATAGTAAATAACTAAATTTTTGTTAGAAACAGAAAGAAGTACTGAACTGCCATCAAATATAAGTCCTCTGATATGGCTGTGAATGATGGAGAATCTCATGACAGATGAAGGAGAGAGTTGACGTAATGGAAATATGGTTCTGCAGAAGGATGCTGGGAATAATTCAGAAAGAAACTGTTGAAATTTCTAGAACAAATGAAGAAAGAGGGTTTGAAACATTTGATACTCACAAGGCAGATCGAAGGCAAGAGGGACAGAGAAAAACAAATGAATAACCTACATGGCAAGTTTTAGCAAATGGATGGTGGAGCAGAGTTTGAAAGGAATAGCAAAAAGACTGTTAGAGCTACACAGGACAGGAAATTGTGGAGAGCCATTGTTTAAATTGTTGATCATGCTAGATAACATGCAATTTCTCAGAAACTGTAACTAAGGTCTGCTCAACATAGTTGCAGTATAAACCACAGGTGTGCTCTGAGGGTGTTGAATAAATACAAATGCGCCTGAACAAGCATCTACAATAGGGATTGGCTAGCTGCTCTAGTAGAATATCCTAGAATATGAGTGGCCAGCTATATATATATATATATATATATATTACAGTGTAACCCGGATATAAGAGAGATTTTCTCTGGTCCTAAATTAGAGCCCATACTTACCTAAACAAAATAGACCAAACCCGGATATAAGAGACTTCATCAGTCCCGACAACTCTCTTATATCCGGGTTACATTGTGTGTATATATATATACATATATATATATATAGAGATGTGTGTGTGTGTGTGTGTGTGTGTAAATGGTCAGATAAAGTCTTGGATAAGTCTTGCGAAATGTGTTTGTACATCTCGTAACTACTGAATGACTCATGTTCATGTAGAATTAGTTATTTGTCACTTAACTTTCTGCAAGTGATTAAATAAATCTAATATCTTAATCGTGTCAGAAACCTTTACGAGTAGATCGTTCCACGATCAGACCTAGCGGTAATATCATGGAAAATCAGAAAGTAAGGATTTTTGACGCAGTTGGTGATAAGGATGGCGGTGGCTACTGACAATCAATTACAAGAGATATCTCTTGAAAATAGTGATGTTGTTTACACTGGCTATTCTGAATGAGAGACAAACCATGACCACCGGTTCATTTATCATGGGAGATAACTTTTTCTAAAGCCCACTAGGTGGCATTGTACAAGGTAGTATGAAATGAAAGTGCACAAACCCTCCTTTATCTCTCCTTTCATTCTCAGTTATCTACAGGATGCTATAGTGATAAAATGTATATTCCTCCCCAAACCCTCGAATGAAGGAGGCTTCTTAGGCCCCAAGCAAACTATGGGACACAGAATACAACACATTACACTGTCTCTTAGTTAAAAAACAAGAACCCCCCAATAACATCTTCACAACAACCAGTCATAAATGTATATTTTAAAGTCTCCAAAACAAAATTGCTCTATTTTAATCATCTGCGGGAACCCTTCCTACCTTACATCAGTATAGCTTATACTAACCACTAGGAGAGAAATTTCTTGCAACTTCTCGGACTAAGGTTGATAAGTTGAAAGATTACATTGAATAAATCCTTAGGTCTCTTGCTAGGAACATTGGTTGTAGTATATTTCAAAGAAAGTTTTTTGGTGATGCAGAAAGAAGAAAAAAAGAAAGATTCAATTTGATTTGTTAAACAGCACATCGACTCCTTATGGGTCATTTAATGCCAAAATTTAATTTTCTTAAAAGTTTGTAAGTAATAAAAATATATGTTATTCTGCTTTCACAATTGAATACATGGTAGATGATACTCAGCTTTTGTGTATATAAATGTTTGTGTGAACATAATTGACAGAGGCAGTGATAATGTATTTTATGTTGTAGTTTGGTTGAAGTTATATTTTGGAATACAGCTTGTTTTCTTTTTAAGAAATTTTAGGATATTATATGGCTTAATGTCATGAAGGAGTTCTTTCATGTTGATCGGTTGATTTTGTTTAGTGGCATATCAACCTCTATGGTTTATTTAATGCTGAAATGTAACTATTTTTGATGTAAGCTTATGCTTTTAACTAAATTTTGTACATAATTTTATACTTTCAGACTAAAGGTATGTTTTTTAGATGTATATTTTGTAGATCATAAAATGTATTGTTCGTAATTTTACTTTAAAAATGTACAGTTGAGTTTTGTTTGGGTGTTCACTATTTTCCCATAGCTAGGACCCTAACTGGTGCTACCACCCAGTTATATTTTGGAATACAGTTTGGTTCCTTTAAAAAATTGTCAGCTATTATATGGATTACTGTTGTGAAAGATTTCTTTCATGTTGATTGATGTATTGTTGGTAATTTTAATACAAACAGATATTGTTGGACTTTTTTTATATACAAAATGTATTGCTGGTATTTTTACTATAAAAAAATGTATTCTTATACTTTCATAGGGGTGTGTTTGGTTTGGGGGTTCACTATTTTCCCATAGCTGGGACCGTAATAGGTGCTATCACCTCATTTCAGAGTGTACCTGGAAACAAGAACAATTAAGTAGTCGTTCCCCACTCCTTAAAAACTTCCAATCTCGCTGCTAGATCTGTTTTATAATCATAACCAGGACAAGAAAGACAGATTGATAGAAAGAGAGACAGGGAGATAAAAAGAGAGCTAGAAAGAGAGAGAGAGATAGAAAGGAAGAAAGATAGAAAGAAAGAAAGACAGAAAAACAGAAAGAAAGACAGAAAGAAAGAAAGACAGAAATAGAGGAATGAAGAAAGATAGATAAAAAGAAAGATAGATAGAAAGGAAGAAAGAAACATAGAAAGAAAGAAAGAAAGAAAGAAAGAAAGGAAGGAAGAAAGAAAGAAAGAAAGGAAGGAAGAAAGGAAGGAAGAAAGGAAGAAAGGAAGATAGATAGATAGAAAGATAGATAGATAGAAAGATAGATAGATAGAAAGATAGAAAGATAGAAAGAAAGATAGATAGAAAGAAAGATAGATAGAAAGAAAGATAGATAGATAGAAAGATAGATAGATAGAAAGATAGATAGAAAGAAAGATAGATAGAAAGATAGATAGATAGAAAGATAGATAGAAAGAAAGATAGATAGAAAGAAAGATAGATAGAAAGAAAGATAGATAGAAAGATAGATAGAAAGAAAGATAGATAGAAAGATAGATAGATAGAAAGATAGATAGATAGAAAGATAGATAGAAAGAAAGATAGATAGAAAGAAAGATAGATAGAAAGATAGATAGAAAGAAAGATAGATAGAAAGAAAGATGAAAGATAGATAGATAGAAAGATAGATAGAGAAAGAAAGAAGATAGAAAGAAAGAAAGAAAGAAAGATAGATAGAAAGAAAGAAAGATAGAAAGAAGATAGAAAGAAAGATAGATAGAAAGATAGATAGATAGAAAGATAGATAGAAAGAAAGATAGATAGAAAGAAAGATAGATAGAAAGAAAGATAGATGAAAGAAAAGATAGATAGAAAGATAGAAATGAAAGAAAGATAGAAAGAAAGATAGATAGAAATAGATAGATAGATAGATGAAAGATAGAAAGAAAGATAGATAGAAAAAAAGATAGATAGAAAGAAAAGATAGATAGAAGAAAGATAGATAGAAAGAAAGAAAGATAGAAAGAAAGATAGATAGAAAGAAAGATAGAAAGAAAGAAAGATAGAAAGAAAGATAGATAAAAGAAAGATAGATAGATAGAAAGAGATAGATAGAAAGATAGATAGATAGAAAGATAGATAGATGAAAGATAGATAGATAGAAAGAAGATAGATAGAAGATAGATAGATATGAAAGATAGATAGAAAGAAAGATAGATAGAAAGAAAGATAGATAGAAAGAAAGATAGATAGAAAGAAAGATAGATAGATAGAAAGAAAGATAGATAGAAAGAAAGATAGATAGAAAGAAAGATAGATAGATAGATAGAAAGATAGATAGATAGAAAGATAGATAGAAAGATAGATAGATAGAAAGATAGATAGAAAGATAGATAGATAGAAAGATAGATAGATAGATAGAAAGATAGAAAGAAAGATAGATAGATAGAAAGTAAGATAGATAGAAAGATAAAAAAGATAGACAGAAAGAACAGGATCCCCTGATCATTTGATATGACTAGCTCCTCGTCATTAAATCACAGTAGAAGATCTGTTTGTGAAAATGTAGATAACTATTATGATAAAACTGCTGACATATTGCGTAAACTTGATGTCACCCGATCTCCATTGAGCACTCGCAGTTCTTTCTAGCACAAAAACGGAGAAAAAAAATCTTCAGCAATGAAGGAAAGATAAAAGAAATGATGGCGGAGATGGCTGTTGTAATAATATCAACAAGATTACCAATAACAACAGCAAAGACACACAAAAAAAATGTGTTGCAATTTAAATGGAGTATTTGCTATGTCAAACACGCTAATTAGATATTCTTGATCGATCTTTTTCTGAATTGATCGTAGCTTGACGTATTGAACTAATCCGATCTGCTGCCACACCCCGTGTACACCCTAAACGTCCTAGTTACCATTCGCTCCAACCCCCTTTCAGTGTCTGGTGCGGCATAATTGCTTCTGGTTCTATGTGTTTATCGGCTAAACTTCTAATCAACTGAAATTCGTGTTCGATGCTAGATAAGGATAAGAAAATGATGTTAGCCTTTTCTGACCTGTGTTGGAGCCCACAGAGAATCAACAATTCAAAATGTTGACATTGATGCCTAGGCAGGGTGAGGGTGGGGAAAATGGCCGCTGCTCGACTTTAAAAATAAATAAATAAATTTAATAATAAAAAATGGATAAAGATAAAAAGGAAAAGAAAAAATAATTAAAATCTATAAAAGTTCTTGGAGTATATCAGTCAGTTCAGTGTCATATGTGTTACACGTTTCTGACTAGGCAGAAAACTTACCTCAGTAGGTTGCTGTTT